CCGGTGCTCCCCGGGGCCGGGGCTCAGCCTGGGGCTGCGCTGGGCTCCGAGGCGGTGCCCACTGGGCACGTTGGGAGCAGTTGAGCAATTGCCTTTATCACCCATAAAAGTCACTCMGAGGGAGCACGGCGAGCTCGGCGCTGATTCACGGCTCATGATCCTCCCGTAAAATACGAGGAGGCATCAACATCTGATAATTACCCCATAAACATCAGTCAGAGCCTCTGCCTGGCCCTGCCGGGGCAGCTCGGCTGGGATTCGTTCCAGGGGGATCAAACAGCACCTCCTGGGGGATGGGACAGCCCTGGAGAGCTCCGGGCCCGGGGGGACAGCAGGGAGACAGAGAGAGGAAAGGGAGGGAGGGAGGAGAAAATGGTGGATTGAAGCCGTGCCTGGGATTTCTGGTGGTGCTGCTCCGTGTCCTGGTGGGGCCAGCTCGCCCTGTGACCTCCTTGTTCCCTGGCAGTGTTTCCCACATGGGAATGACAAATTCTGGGAGAGGAGGAGGAGGAGGAGGAGGGAGGGCAGCTCCAGAGTTAGCCCTGGGATGGAGGAAGCCTGAGGGCAGAGGGTTCAGAGTGGGAATTACACTCAGGGTTTGACTGTCAGGAGGGAAATGAGGAAAGGGGAAAGTTACAGTTCATTCAGTGCCTCTTTCTGAGCTGTTAAATTGTGGTTACAGCCCATAAAAAGGGGCTGCACTTCTGYCCTGGGAACATGTCCTGTCATTAGAGCCCTTCTCACCTCCCTGGCCCAAACCTCCCTGTGACTGTGCTGCCGTTTCCTCCTTYCCCTCCCAGTTCCTGGCCCTGGACACGCAGATGCTGATGGGGAACCGCCGCTACTCGCTGAGCCCCGAGGAATACATCTTTGGAGCCCTCAACATCTACCTGGACATCATCTACATCTTCTCCTTCTTCCTGCAGTTCTTTGGCTCCAGYCAGGAGTGAGGGCAGCGGGGCAGGATCGTCCCCGTGCTGCCAGATGCGAGGGGTTACATGGCAGAGCAGAGGTTAAAGGGTTCCAAAGCACCGACCCGACCCAGTCCCTCCCTTTCTGGTCCATCCAACGCGCCGAGGAGCGCTGGGCTCCTCCCGCAGCTTTGTACATTTGCTGTCAGGCCTTTGTGACCCAGAGAGCAAAGCAGGGCTTCAGTGTCGTGTCCCTTCTGCTGCCCCTCTCCCGCCCAGCCCAAACCAGTCCAGACACTGGGGGAAGGAGAGCGGGACCCTCCCGGCCCCAGTGGCTGCTGGAGGTGCCCTCTGAGTCCTGCCCGGCATGAGGTGAAAGTGCTGAGACAGAGTGGAGAATTTGGTCAGATCCTGCAGGAAAAGCAGCTGAGCCAAGGGGAAAGGTGTGGGGAATCCTTGCAGTGCCCTGTTCTCCACGTTCCTTTGGTGGCCTCTGCGCTGTTCCCGGTGGTTCCTGCTGTTGGAAACGTGGGCTGTGGGGTCACGTAGCTGATTGTGGTGCTCCAGGCACAAGGAACCTGTTTGTTTGGGACGTGCAGCTCTCTGAGGCCATCCCTGGTGCCACTGCAGGAAGAATTCCCCTGGATCCTGGCCCTGGGGCTGAGCGTGTCCCTTTCCCTTTCCCTTTCCCTTTCCCTTTCCCTTTCCCTTTCCCTTTCCCTTCCCTTCCCTTCCCCAGGGTTCAGCAGGATCCACGGGCCTCCTCCCACCCAGGGAATGTTCTTGGATTGTGGCTCCCCACCGGGGTGGGATTGGGATCCCAAGGAAGGGACATTGCCAGGAACTGGCAGAGAAGAGATGGAGGTGGCTGAATTCCCCCAAAATGCTGGGAAACGCAATTCCATGTGGAAAACGGGCTGGGATCCTGTGACCCACCCCAAGGATCTGGCACTATCACAGAATTATCTTGGTTGCTCCAAATTAACGCTCCTAAGGGAATTTCCCCAGGGATTGAGGCCGTTGGAACAGCCGTGTCCCCTGTCCCTGTTGAACAGCAGTGTCCCTGTCCCTGTTGAACAGCAGTGTCCCTGTCCCTGTTGAACAGCAATGTCCCCTGTCCCTCTTGGACCAGCACTGTCCCCTGTCCCTGTTGAACAGCAGTGTCCCCTGTCCCTGTTGAACAGCAGAGTCCCTGTCTCTGTTGTACCAGCTGTGTCCCCTGTCCCTGTTGAACAGCACTGTCCCCTGTCCCTGTTGTACCAGCAGTGTCCCTGTCCCTGTTGAACAGCAGTGTCCCTGTCCCTGTTGAACAGCAGTGTCCCCTCTGTTAGAACAGCACTGTCCCCTGTCCCTGTTGTACCAGCAGTGTCCCCTGTCCCTCTTGGACCAGCACTGTCCCCTGTCCCTGTTAGAACAGCAGTGTCCCCTCTCTCTGTTGTACCAGCAGTGTCCCCTCTGTTAGAACAGCACTGTCCCCTGTCCCTGTTGAACAGCACTGTCCCTGTCCCTGTTGTACCAGCACTGTCCCCTGTCCCTGTTGGACCAGCAATGTCCCTGTCCCTGTTGAACAGCAGTGTCCCTGTCCCTGTTGAACAGCAGTGTCCCCATCCCTGTTGAACAGCAGTGTCCCCATCCCTGTTGAACAGCAGTGTCCCCTGTCTCTGTTGTACCAGCTGTGTCCCCTCTGTTGACCAGCAGTGTCCCCTCTCTCTGTTGTACCAGCACTGTCCCCGTTGAACAGCACTGTCCCCATCCCTGTTGTACCAGCAGT